GATATGATAAATCAAATAAAGAAATCAAGAACCAGAAAAGAATCTATATGGTTCAGTCAAGCTGATGTACTCTACAGGGTGGATGAATCCGAATTCAATACCATCCGCTGGTATTTAACTTTGTGAAATCAAGATGTATTGTAATGCAATTACTCCATTGATTCAGGTCTACTTAAACAAATGAGAAATCAATATAGTTTGATATTTGAGTTTAATTGAATGTGCAAATAAATCAATTGGTCAAGATTCATTCATTACTTACCTCACAATCAAGACCAAACAAGCAGCAAGCAAAAGCCAGAGAGCTGCCCCACTGTCCTGCACCAGTTTCTGTGACAACATTCTTGATGCCTTGTTGTGCATTATAAAAAGCTTGAGGGACTGCTGTGTTGGGTTTGTGTGATCCAGCCGGACTAACACCTTCGTACTTATAGTAAATTCTGGCAGGTGTCCCAAGTAGCTTCTCCAATCTCTTGGCTCTAAATTCAACAAAGCCATATAAGATTTCCTTGTCATAAGAAATAAATGGGAACTAGATCAAATGACAAAGGAAACCTGATCAGAGGAGTTGGGCGCCAAAGCCTGTAAACATCAAGAACTTCGTCTGGAATATCGATGTACCTGTCGTTAGCTGCCTCCTGCTTGATCAACTCATCTGGGAAAAGAGGAGACAAATCCTCAGGCTTGATTGGCTGAAAAGTTTTAGGATGCAATGGAGGAGGAGGTTTTATCGGAAGATCAGCAATCAAATTGTACCACTGATGAGGAATTCCAATTACACTCTTGCAATCAGAATTTAGAGCTGCTGTTGCTCTTAGTCTACAGCCATTTGAAGACCTCAGATACAACAGATTTCTCTTAAGGGAAAAACAGCTAAACTGTTGCTCATCAGCTGAAGATAAACGAGAAAATAAATGAAAAATCAGAAAAAAAATGAGTTCAAAAAATAGAGCAAAAGAAAATTGAGGAACTAGTGTTTTCCAGAATCAAGTAAACATATTTGATTAAGGCCTTTTAAAAGAAAAAGATGCGGGCACCATTTTTTCCCAGAGTTCTTACCCTTTATTTGCACGTCTACCATAACATAATAAAGGTTCTATCTTTTTTCTTCTTAATCGGATTCATCTACAACACATTGAATAGTTGGGTTGATATGCATACAAAAATTGATAATACTGAAAATAGTAAATTGAATCATTGTTGCCCTACCAGTTCAGATTAGTCCTAATTACTGCCTTGGTGAAATATATGCTCAAAGCATATGAAAATAAGCTTAGATATGATTCAAATAAGAAAATCAATTCAGGGTCTTCAATTACTTATGGTCCAAAAGGTTCTGACAATGTCTACCAACTTTTTAGTTATAACCTAAAACAAAAGAATGGATGTTTCTCTTCATGTCCCCCAACTGGGTCACAACACTATTCTACAAAACTGGTAAAACTACTTAAATCTCAGGTAAAGAAAAGCAAATGCAGTGCTGAAATCCCTGTTGACTTCACTCATGCAGTCATCAGTTCACGAGCGAAGAAAGCAAAAAAGAGAAACAGATCAACATGGACACAAAACGAAAAAGAACAAAAAGTAGAGTCAAACTCAACATAATTTTGTTTCGCATTAAAATGAAAAAGAAAAAAAAAAGATGTTACCTTTGGAGGAAATGAAAGAGGATGAAGGTTGGAGATGAAGTGGGTTTGCAGAGAAAAGCGACATGATAGTCCTGGAAAATGATCGATGAAAGTTCTGAGCACAGCAGCGGAGTAAGTTTGAGTTTTCAAGAGCAATGTGAATGGAAAGTGGACACGTACCCAACTTATCAATGCCAGGTCGCTTCACTTCATAGTTGACTGATACTTCACCATATTTTCCTGTTTCAGGGCATACATAGTAAAGAAATGAATCATACCATTCCACCCATGATTTTTTATGTTATAATTTGATTTTTTTTAAAAAAAAAAATCCAATATATAATATGCATTTTATATTCAATAGTTTTTGTACAATAATTTAATTATTTGTTAAATAATATCATTAGTTTAAACATGAATATTTACTATTTAATTTAAAAAACTTAGTTATGATGCATTTATACTTGACAAGTAATATAATTTAATTAAATATTTGTTTTTTTTGTGTCAGATGTGTTGAATCTGAACTATTAAAAAAAATATTTTATTTTTGCGAATTTATTAATTAAATAAAGAAAAAATTATTAATTATCTACATAATTTTCTTTGTAAAAATTTTAATAAAAAATAAACATTATAATCTTTTGTTAAAATTAATCCATCCCCAAACCTCCAAGTTGGTGAATAATTTAATTTTACTTGACTGATTGGAGAACATCATTTATAACTTCTATTATTTTGAAGTGTTATTTTCACGATTAATTTTTTGCTCCATGTTTGATTACAAGACAAGAAAATTACATTACACAAAATAATAATAATCTTTATTTTATATTTCTTTTTTTTTTTTTTTTTACTTTAATGTATTTTCTTACCAAAAGCAATTCAATACATACATTAAGAAATTATAGGAGGAAAACAACAATTTTTCCTCATTCCCACTTGCAATGAATCCTTTGGGTGTGTCTAAATTCACATTTCAGCATCAAACTTCCATCCAATCTGCTTAAAACGAAGCTCTCTACCAGCACATAACAACCAAATCTCCTCCAATCATTCTCACCATTTCTCTTTTCTTCTACTCTCTCAACTCTTGTCTCTCTTTCTCCTCCACTTACCCACCCTACTTCCTCTAACACCCATTTCATCTTTTCAACAATTACATAACTTAATCCCAAACTTACTCTTTGATTTCGAGTTCGATACCAGTAGAATCCTCCATGACTAATCTTGTTATCCCTCATAGCTTCTAAACCAAACACATAATTCACTTCCCTTTGCACCCTTTTATTGATATTCACTACATTATCTCCATTCCCAGTATTTTCACACCCATAAATCTGTGCCCAACACTGCTCAAGTGTCATCTTGTAAAACACAGACTTCTCCATTTGGTGTCTCAGCCTGTTTTCCTCTCTTACAAACAGAAATGGACAGTACCATTCTCCAACCACTACAGGTTCTGATGATTTCTTCGAGATGGGGAAGTTGGTGCTAGGAAGGTGTCTTCGAAGTGAGACATCGAGGCCTAATGCTTCGTCTAGTCTTGATCTGTATAACCTCGAGCTGTGAACTTCCCATCCTTTTTTCCTGAGAAATGCTGGAGGAAAGCCATCAGGAGCAACAGACCTGGCAAAAAAGCTATGTCTGTGGTGGCGATGGATTTTCATGTGTTGGTATATGTTTCTGTGATCAAATGGTTTTGGTTTCTTGTCATTGATCACATTTCTGAAGCAATAAAATCCCATGTCCATTTGACTTGAACATACACATACTTGTCTGCAAGTTTGAAATTCTTTTCAGTCAAAACACTTTCAACAAAATCCAAATGAAACATTCCAAAAGAAAAGCATATGTATACCGTATGTTACATAAATTACCCTTTGTATTTGCCTTTTGCCCGGATAACATAATAATGATTAGACGATAAAGGCTGATCAAGAACTGGGATAAACAACACTTTTGTGACACTAGTATCTTTATAATCTGGTGAATCAACAACTGCCAGTATCTTGTCTTGAGGAAAAGGCAAGCTTTTAACCCTCCTCCTCTTGCATCCGCCAAAACAGAAAGTGTCTTCTGCTTCAGCTTCTTCATCTGTTATGATCAGAAAGCCTGAATATGGACCTTCTGGTGGCTCCGATGAAAGAGTGCTTGGAGATTTTCGGTACATCGAAAGAGGCCTTGTGACATACATTTCTAACTGCTTCAAAGGTACATGACTGAGGAGGAAGAAAAAGGCTGGAGGGGATTTATGTGGTTTGTTTCTTATGAATTAAGAAATAATACAAGTTGATGTCATGTGTATCTTCACAATATACTTTGGAGAGAGTATATTTTTAGGAGTCTAATCAGTATGTGGATTCAGAAAGTTTTGATAATTGATATGTTAGTTTAATAAAATTAACTAAGCAAAGGAAAATTTAGATAAAAGAAGAGAAAGAAAGTGATTACTTTATTGTCCACTTTATCTTCACTTTGTCTTACTTTTTTCTGGTGGTGTATTGAATCTTCAAACTGATTCAGTGAAGAAATATCATAAAATTGTCCTGTTGATAACATAACTAGGCTGCAAGTGAAAGGCAAAAAAGGAGATGAAAGAATACACTTTTTGTTTTTGTTGGTTTCTGCTTTTCAGAGAGAAAAATCATACTAAATCAAATTATCCCCAGGGATTTATTAGCTAAAATCCAAATGGGCATCTATATATTTTTATGCTTGATTGAAATATTTGAAATAATTTGTATGATATATGTACGGACTGAAATAGAAGTTGAAGTCCCCTACTTCCTCTCTCTGGTGGGTAGATGTATAAACATATATATATATATCTATATATTAACATAAAATGAACACTATTAACCTTCTGCACTTACAAGTCCACTTACATGCATAAGACAGCAAGAGAAGGTTAAAAGACTCCACACTATCAAAGAGGGTTTGTTATTGTTGAAAACAAGCTACATCAACTTGTTCTGCGCAGTGCAAGTAATACATTTACTTTGCCTTATGTCAAAATGGGCCTTCAGTTACTTATCAACTTGTTCTGCACAGTGCACATATTACATTTATTTTTTATCTCTGTCAAACTAAACCTCCAAAATTTTGGAAAATATAAATAACCAAAGCACTATGGTTTTCCAGCTATCCTTGGGAACTCCGAAACTGTTATATTAGGCAACTATATTATCCAAATCCAGAAGTTCATGCATCCAGTTGAAGAAATTTCTTAATAATTCCCATCATCTCTCCACCCGGAAAACGCCCAAGACATCCCCTCGCTGCTGCTATCTCATTAAACTCTACAACTGAATCACCACTGAATGCTGTCACTTGCTTGCTTTCTGTGTCTCCTACTACCGCAAAATCTTCAGATAAGTCTTCACCAGCCTGAACTGTTGGAAGAGGAAACGGATCAAGGGAAGTTTCCAAAACAACAGACTCCCCACCTACTGCCCCAACAAAATCTTTCAACCGGCACATTGTAAATGGAACTGGTTCAAAGCTGTGGTCCCCATATTCAACAGGAGTAGAGTGATCACCAGTGACACAGAGAAAATACTCAAACTTCCCAGTTGATTCTGCCTGCCAGAGTAGCTTGGCCAGCTGCCTTATAGCTCGATCTACTGCCTCCAAACCTTTTACTTTAAATAAGCTTGCCTTATCATGACCGGCATCGTCTATAGCCTGCAAGATCCAGGTGTCCAAATCTTGTTACATCCATGACAAGGTAAGCCTTGTAATTTCATATGCATACAAAGTTCATTACATGACTAATCAGGAAACTTGAAAATATAAAGAGAAACAACGAGAAAAAAATTCATGGGTAAAGGGTAATATGAACACATAATTTGAAGCCAGGAATTATTACTGCAATTAGTTTTTTCAGATATTCCAGTTGATAAAATGTTCTTCTAGACTAAATCTTATGAGCTTGAATGCAGTCATCCAATAATTTGCAAGAGCTGATAAATTATCTTTTAACATTAAAGATGCCAACCCCCGGACTGTTGGCCGGCTGGCACGTGCATCGTCGTGATGCTTGAAGATGGTAGGTTTGGGCCTCACCATGGCTACCAAAAATAAAAATAAAAACTGCCAAAAATTTTAAATTTGAATGCAAATATGAATCTTTCTGGACTGGACAAATATTAGGAGAAAATATCAATAGGATAAGAAGGAAATTTAAGGAAAAACAGATTCTGCTCCAGAAGCAAGCAATAAAGAAATATGAAACAGTTGCTTATTCAAGACACCAAAGATTAGGATGCCAGACTTCAAAAGTAAACACCTTTATATGGAGAAACCCAAAATCATAGCCATCTGATCTCCCTGGCTTATGCTCATCCTCTCCTGGTACAAATACACGAGGGCAAGAATTCAAAGGAGCTGAGAGTGCCTCAGAAATTGCAGTGGCTTTGGAAGTTAAAAGTGTTCGATAGTCTCCAGTGGCCCCAGGAGCTTCTAGAATGTCAATACCAAGTGACAAGCCCAGCCCAGCTATAATTTTGGTGGGAGCTACCATACAAGGCCACAAGCCATGTTTCTTTTGGAACGGAGGGACCTGCAGTATTCAAATAGGAAATAAAGATAGATTTGAAAATATAATCCAATATACAACTAACCAAAAGTCTCTAATAACCTCACATCTACATAAATTCTAGAGTTAAAAGAATTTGTGATGTTCCAACCTTTAACAAACAACAAAATTTCTTACTATTCCATTGAAGTAAAATGTGAGAAGCTGTCATTTTAATCCTTTTAACAAAGGTTCAAGAACTTATCTCCTCCTGAAAACTACACATAAATATATATGTATGTATAGGAAAATACACACACACAAGCACACACAAAACCGGAGAGAAATTCCTTTTGTCCCATACGTTTACTTTCCCATGGTGAACAAAACCATCAACTTCCAAACCTACATTGCAATAACAATATCCTGGGACTTTCTACCATGACTTGAACAAAAATTTAAACATAAAACTTGTTATAATAGGCTCTTTCGAGTCTTTGTTATATGGTAGGACGTGAATCATTAGAAATTTCTGCAGGTCTTATGTTGCCAATTTTTGCCCCCACATCCAAGTTGTTTCCCTAGCGCCAAATGGGAATATAGTCTGACTGTTTAACAGAATACAGATGGGCTTAAAGGGCATTTCTATCAAAAAAGGAAACTGCCTAAACATTTGTGCATTGACAAACAAAGGGAGTAATGATAAGTTCTTTAACACCTGAACATCAGCACCTTCCTCCTAAAAATTAAATAGTAAAGAAATAAAAAATAATTGAAAAAATATGGAAGTCACAACTATTGCAATAAGTGCATACTCACAAGTTATGACATGCAAGTATTTTGACTGCCTAAGGATTTTTCTGAGTTTAAATGAGTTAATGATGATATACCTACAAAAAGTGTGAAACAAACCTCAATTCGAATACCACAACCTCGTAAAAGGACCACATTTGCGATATTCTTCCCTTCTGCAGCCCTTTTTGAATTCAGGGGGTGAGAAACCAGAATTCTTGATATCTCCCGGGATAATTCGTTAACAACTGCAGCTGTGTGCTTTGCTTCATCTGTATCATCTAGAGCTTTGGCTTCCAGAAGCAAGCGGTTGTCTTTCAAAGGGTCTGTTCCTGATATATTTCCACTCAGTCTTGGTCCCTTCACAACCACTCCGCATCTGTGTTCAGTTGCATATCTGTAGAGGATGCCTTTATGTCAAATTTAGCTTGCTTAGTTATTTTAATTGGGAGAATGGAGCTTCAAAGCAACAACTGAGATATTTATTCTAGTAAAAAAACTAGAGAATTTATTGTATTGCATTACAAGAGCAATACCTTTATAGATGTAACAAAAAGTTATAAAAATGATATATCAACCAAGCAGCTATAGATATTGTAATGTCAATTGACAAGTGTAGCTATTGCAACTAGAAAAACCTGCACCTGACTCTAACTTCATACTCAGGAAAAGGTGGGAGCTTCATTCCATCCAGTGCTGCACAAAGTATTGGCCCCTCTTCTTCAAAGTGCCTGTCAGCCCTCCTACTGGTAACTACTCCTGTTTTCTCATCCAAGGTCGCAAAATTTGACTGCAGGTCAAATAGTTATAGTAATTATAACAGTAAAAGAACCAATTTAAACTTCAGAATGTAAGATCTAAACTAAACAATAGGGTATTAATAGAAGAAAATAAAAGAGTGAGCGTCCTCATAGAATAATCAATCAGTTTAAAATAGTTATAGTGATTATTATGTTAAAAGAACCAATTTAAACTTAAGAACAAAATTTAAACTAAACAATAGGGTATTAGTAGAAGTAAAGCGTAAGCGCCCTCATTGAATAATCATTCACTTTATTGTCAGTCATTAAGTGCGATCATGGATATTTCTAGGAGAAGGGTTTCCCAATTATTTGTTCAAACCTTCAGGAACATAATATAGTACAGACAAGAATCCTTTGAAACAACAAGATCAGTATAAAAATGAACAATTTCACCCAATTGCACAATGAATTAACCATCTGCGGCAGTGCAAAATATAGAAGCAAATAAGTAGGTAAATCAACGAAGATATATGTACAGTACTTGTCATTATTGTCTCTGTCCAAAATGGATTTTTTCCAACTTCTGTGCTGCACCTGACACCCAACTACTGAGGTTGCATTGATTCCCAAGCTATTTTGTTCATATAGGTACCCATATCCAGATTAACTTTCATCAAACTGAAAATCCTTTATCATCAATTAGACTCACTGTTCTGGTATTATCATGCCATGAAGAAATATAGAAGCAAATAACTAACATGTTTAAATAGAAGCAGGTCACTAGCCGTGTTTTTCTAAATCGAGAGGGTCATTAATACTAAAACAACAGAGTTGGAAACAAAGTAAAACACAAAATCTGAAAACTGAAATTAGTTAATAATACCTTGAATGCAATATCCCCAGGTGACATAGCTAATCCAGCACCCATGGACTCAAATGCACCACGTCCCCGGTAGTATACTTTCGGGTCATATCCCAATAGAGAAAGGTGAGCTGTGTCACTTCCGCAACCCAACCCTACTTCAACAGGATCCATTAGACCATTAACTCCAGCAGATGCAATGGCATCCAAATTGGGTATATTGGCTGCTTGCAGAGGAGTCTTATATCCAAACCATGGCAGTGACACATCCCCCAACCCATCAATCAGAATAAATGCAACTCTTTTCTTGGGCTCTTGATGACTACCCATACTTCTCTCTGGTACACCTACCTTGACCTCCAATTCAGATCAGAGGGTACTTTAGGGATGATAAAAAAACACAAGCTACTTCTCTGTAAAACAGAAACCCAACAGATTAGCAAAGCCTCCAATATTTAACAAATTGTTAAACGTTTTTCATGCAAACTAACAATTATGAGTGAATTCATCACAGTTACGTGGTAGTCTCATTGTTTTTTAATTCAGCCAATACTCAGCTGAACTCACAGTCAGGAAATTAGCCATAAAAGTAAAGGCTTCAAGTTCATAAGTTGGCAAAATTTATATCTTTCACTAATTTGATTAAAAATTTATATCTCATAAGACGGGCTATAGGAATTTAGATCAAATTGTCAATGGGTTTTCTCCCATTACAAGCTAAATCCGCGAAACCAACATTAAGAAGCTAAAAAGAACAAAGGATCACCCAGAAACAGACATAGACAAAACTGAGAGATTCAACAGTAACATGCCCACATCAGTTCCGATCAAAATGAAGGTTTAGTATTAATAATAAGAAGGCTCGAAAGAGGAACGAAATGGAAGAACAGAGGGCGAAAATGGAATCCACTGAACATATATGAAATGCATGGTAGAAAATCTCCATACCTGAAAAGCTCCTCAACTTTGATTCCGGGCTCTGTTGGAACTGCTGCTCGTTGCCTACTTTCTTCTATCCACTCAGAGCAGCGCACTGATGAGAGAAGAAGAAAAGGAAAAGGTTGGAAATTCGATGCAAAGATTTTTTCTTGTTTATTGAAAATCTCAAAAAGATGTTTAGTTTTAAATGGAAAAAGAAAAGGGGATACTGCATGGATGTCTGATGTTTGTTCGGTGAGAAATTATTCTTTTTGGACGTCTCGGAATTTTTACTCCAAAACAAACATGTCTTGGTTTTCCATACGCCAAAATAAAATTAAGATTAATTGCATAAATTATTTATATTAAAAAAAAGATAAACTATATAAATAATTTTTAGTGTAATTATATTCATTTTACATTATTTTTACTTATATCCTTATTCTATGTCTGCCTCAACTAAATATTTGTGCGCTGGGTAAGTAAAAATGTTTTGAAATGATTTTTAATAAAAATAATTTAAATTGAAAAAGAATATAATATTTAATAAAATTTGTAGTAAAAAATATAAAATACGATATCAAAATTTATTAATCATATTATAAAATCAAACTAAATATTAAAATGATAAAAAATTAATATAATAATAGAAGTTAGTTGTTATGATACATAATATTATTTTTAAAAAATTATTTTAATAAGTTAAATTATTTTATTTATTTAACTTAATATAAATTATTATTTAATTTTAAAATAAATATTTTAGAAGTAATTTATAATAAACATAAAACTATTGATAATAAATAAATATTATATTTTTATTTATAAATTATAAATTAAGAAATATACTCATTAAAATTATTACGAATTCCATGTTGCTAATTCTCTTCCTTTTTGAATTCTGGAGTTGAGAGCTGAAAACGAGTTTTCTTCCTCAACAATCAACCTACATCACGATTCTGATTCTTCACAGAAACGAACAGAGCTCGCCCGTGATTCTTGTTTTCGCCTGAGGGCATCGTTTTCCAGAGTCTACTAATTGCTTATCATTGAGTGCTTCCAACTTTTATTCTGCCATTTTTCTTAATGATGAAGCCGGGACATTGAACTTTTCTTCGTGGTTCTTCATCTGGGTTTTTGATGAATTTCCCCAAAGACGCTAATTTTGTAAACAATTCGGGTATTTTTTTAATGGGTTTTTGTTACATTTCTGTTATAGATAATAAATTTCATTGAAGTTGAGGGCTTTAATTATGAGAATGGATTTTCAGAAGCTACGGCTTCTGCAATACCTTTCTTGAACTCCGATGGCATTTTTAATTATTTTTGTTCATTGTTGTCTTTATGGTTCTTTTTCTTTTCCACCTTCCCCCCACCCATTGTTGAGTATATGATAAGTAATTAAGAAAAGCAAGTTGAGTATTGAGTTCTGTATTCTCTGAATGAAATTTATCTTTTTTCTTTTGATAGGGTATGAATAAGGCTAAAATGCCTTGACCTATGACGACAATGTAGTTTTTTTATTAATTTATTCAAAGCATAGCCTTAGTAAAATTAGGAATTGATGTCACGGTCGAGATTACAGAAAAGTGATGGGCATGGCTCAATTGGAATTTTGCAAAATGTGGCAGTGGCAAACAGTTGCAGTTTGACAGAAATATTCTGTAAAAGACTTATAGTACCAATCACCATTGTGTTGCAAAATTTTTGAACATTTTCGCAGGTTGGAGAATTTGTAAAGAAGATGAAGGCGATTGGAGTGAGCTGCACAAAAGACCACAAGAAAAAAAGTGAAGGCAGCATGAGTAAACAATAATCTAGACCCTTTAGTTTCTTGTTCTTGTTGTCTGGGCTTGAACAACTAGTATTCACTTTCACTAAAATTATTTTCTGGGGGGCATATGGGGCTATGAGTTTGGGATATATTTGTACTAAAGTCTGATAAATCAAATGATAAGCATAAACTATATGCTGATCATTTTAACTAATTTTCCCTAGTCTTATACTGTTTCTGCTTTTGCTGACAGTTCGAGGGCAGTGAGTGGAAACGAGAGACTCATTTCAACAGGTTCTAGCAAGGTTCATCAAATCTGAGCTTGCTGGAACTCAAGATGCCACGAAGCATCCAGGAGAAAGAGTAATTTCCCATGACCATAAAGTGTTCCCTTGATATATAGTTTGTTGTTTGTTGTTGATTTTCTATGGTTCAGCTACTGTTCTTGGTGGAAGTGGATTTGTTGGTTCACATATATGTAGAGCGTGGTCTCAATTTATGAAGCCTTAGCAGGTCTTTTATTTTATTTGGATGGAAATAAATAAAAGTTTTAATTTGTTGGAAAAATTCACTTCCACGTAAATATTACCCTCATGATACAGCTAATTCTCTTCTCAACCGCTTTATTGTTTTCATATCCTGGAACATCATAATGTTGTTCTGGAAGGTCATCATTCTATTTGATGAAATCTTTGCACATTTGTTTCTATTACTAGGTCTGGAAGGTCATCTTGGAATGATTCTTGGGCTAACAATGTGGCTTGGCATCGAGGTTCTCTGGAAGTGGAAATACATATTCTATTGCAGCTTGTCAAATCTGAAGTCTTCTGCATTTCTTTCTAAAATAAAACTTTTAAACAACACGAGATCTTCTTTCACCTGATTCTCTGGAGAATGCACTAACTGGAGTTACCTCTTTTGTATTGTATCATTGGTTCTTCTGTAACTCTGATTAAACACTGTAAAGAAGCCATGATAAAGTGTCCTTGAATTTTATACTCTAATCATTTCCATGTTGGCTATGCATAGTCTCTGCAATCCATGGCTGGGGATATTTCTTTTTTTTTTTCTTTTTCCCTTAATCTAAAACCTGAATGGTTAAAACCTACTCCACTCCCCTGTTCTTGATATTACTAATTTGATAATTTTGAATGATGCAGACCTCGTGCATTGGAAGTTTTGGCTCAAACTCACATATGTATAAAATTAATGGAACTGCAAACATAAATGCTGTTAGAGCTGCTGATGAACAAGGTATCTCAGAATAATTGAATAACTTCTTTGACAGAAATCCAGAATCATTATTAGCAGTATGTCTTATGTTCATGACTAATATAAAGTTGATGTAAGTTCTTTTTCCTCAGTTGGTTCATCTTAGTCTTATAGTTTTCTAATCCTTCCTGAAAATCAATTTTATGTTGGTTTCGATGGGTTATAAGCATCTGAAATACAGATGATGAATCTTTTCAAACTCCTTTGTTAAATCATCTCAAGTGTTTGATTTTATGGGCTTTAATTAAGCTCCAACTGGTTACTTATGTTTCTTGCCTCTTTATAAATCAAAATACTTCATTCCTAATGTGTTTAACAAGAAAAAAAAGGGGAATTACAGTGTAAAGGTTGAAGTTAACCCTACATTTTCTGGCTCTTTTAACTTGATAGAACGAACAAAAATAATAATAGTTTCGGTATTATCATTCTTAATGTCTTACTAGTTGACTTTGCAACATATGTCAAAGAAAAATGTCTTATTAGGTGAGACATTACTTCATCTTCTGTATAAGACTCAAAAGGCTTTTGTGCAGGGTACAGTTCCTAATCCTGATGAAAATTTTGTCCTTCTACAATGCAGAGAGCAACTGAGACAGCCCTAAAGGCTAAATTTCTCCCTCTAACTAACATGAGATTTTTTTTCATTTTTTTTTTCAGTTTTGTTGGTTGAGCCTCAAAACTTAAGGAGTCCTTTGGCCTTCTCATTTATAAAGTAAAATTGAAGGTTCTGTTACTCTACCTTTGAACTTTGCATGTTATAGTGGTACTTGAGACCCAGAAGAAGTTAAAAGGGGTGGAGGGGAAGAACTTTGCATGTAGGAAGATACTTGATAAACAAGGATGAACATTTTGACCCTTGTCTCCGTCCATAATTTGGACTGCTGAATGTCGTTTTTATGCTTTTATGAATTATGGTCTGTATTTATCATTTAGTGGGTGTTTGGGTTGGCTTGGCTTGAAGTATAGGAGCTTTGAAGTTGTATAACTTTTGAACTCTTCAGTGATGTATAAGCTATTAAAGGTTACTTTTAAAAATAGCTCTTAATGTTTTGGGTAATACTATTTATTATCCATTTGTTTTATACTTAGTAAAAAATATAGCTTATAAGCTATTAGATTTATTAAAATAAAAAAAAATAAAAAAAAAAAGACAAATTTACTATGTTTTAAACATTTGAAAATTAAAATAGAAAATTTTTTAAATTGTTTGAGGGCATCAAATACAACTCTAATAACTTTCTAAAAATGCAGTTGCAAGAGCTTATGTATTGTCCAACTCATAAGCTTATGAATATTCACTAAAGGTATAAATAAATTTAGAACACTGTCAATGCTCATGAGCTTTTCTAGACACAAAAATAATCCTGAGTTGAACACCCTCTCATGTCTTGTGGTCATTTAGGATTGGAATCCTTCTTTTTGTGCATGAGTTTTCTTGATTGCTTATCCGCAGGTGGAGTGCATCCCACTGCCTCATAGCATTGTTGGAGCTCCATTAGAGATGGTAAATTACAATTACTTGGAGAAAGCTTTTTATTTATTGAATGGATTCTTAAATTGTGCAGATATAATGCTCTCTTGTTTTGAACTAACGACTGGTTCATGCAAATCAATAGTTACCATATTAATGCTGGGCGATCGGTAATCAATTTAAAACTAGTGCAGGGAAGATGTTGAAGCATTTTTTTCCAGTCCCAAAATGTTAAATGAAAAAAACTTATAGATTTGGTTGGTGTTGTAATGTGTTCTCTCTACTGCTCGTTGATCTATGGCGTGTGCATAGGCTTTACGTTGTGGTTCCTGCCAAAAGGTTTATGTGTTAACATCCAGCCCATTGAAAAAATCAGGGCAAATTAGTAATTTAAAAAAAAAAAAAAAAAAAAAAAAGGAATTAGGGCTGCAGCTCATGTATATATGTGTGTTGCACGGAAAAAAGAAAAATATCTAAAGAAAGAGAGAGGCTGCGCGGAAAAGAAAGAGAGAAAGAAGAAAGAGAAGAGAAAAGGAAGAAGAAGAGAAATAGAAAGGGGTATATATATATACACATATACATATAGAGGTTGAGTGGCTGCTTAAAAGAAAAGAAAAGAAATAATGAGGTTGTCATTCTCTCCTCTCTGTAACATCATCGCTGATGTCAGTTATTTCGTCATTTTTTTATAGAGAAGTTTAATTTGATTTTGTTTTCTTTTTTCTTCAAAAAATAAATTGTTCTTTTTATTTATTAGTGGATTTGATTTAATATTAAAGTTATCATTTATTTATTATTTTACTCATCATGCATTAATTTAACTTAAAATTATTATTATTAATTAATTTAATATTATTTTAATTTACATAATTAATTATATTCTTATTATAAATCTAAATAGATAGAGTTTTATTTTCAGATATTGAGTGATTATTGTTGATTAAAGCGGTAATTATTATTAAGATTCAAGCTTGTGTTACCTTTTGAAACAACCAAGAAATAAACAAAAATATGAAAACTGTTTGATTATTAGAGAAAGTCAAACACTGATTGAAACATAAAGATAAACTAAGTAATTTTTGTATTATATAATACATTTGTTTTAATTTTTTAGATGAGGTGATTGAGAATTGAATAGGTTAGCTCAAATTATCATACCAGTTAAAAATGAGTAATACAGTAAGTATGTGCCTTAATGTTTGACAAACTAAATCAATCAACAAGTGATGACATCAATAGGTGTTTAAACCTACTCAAGTGTCTTTAAAAAAGAAAATTAAAAAAAAAAAAAATCTTTTAATTTCCGTTGACCATAAAAGATGTAATTTCGATATACAAAAATTAGCAAATGATACCCTAAATATTAGAAAATAAAAGGGCATGAACTAGTGCCAATGTTAGGTTAATTAATAATGCACAAAAATTGTTATAGAATTTTATTTTCATTTTTTTTGAAATTTTTTATATATTTTATTAATTATATAAGATAAATATATTAATTATAATATAATATATTAACAATGATATATAAAAATAAAAAATTTCAGTCAGATTCGTCATTTTTTATAATAGTGAAAAAAGTATCAATCATACTATTAATAGTTAGATTTGATTTATAACTAAAATTAAAGTGTCACTTTAATTAAAACATTAATGAATTTAGTATATAGAAGTTTGTAGTACATAACTTGTTATTCTTAATTTTAATTAGTCCTTACCCGCTGCCATGTAAGGTATTTGCAGAAAATTAGAAAAAGCTCCCATTGTCATCTTGGTGTTTACCATTTTGGCTTTGAGACAAAAATAGAAATAAATGTTAGGGATACCAACTAAGAAACGGAAATAAATAAATAAAGTCAAACTGTGACAGAGTAATAGGAAATAATGAGTATAGCTTAAGTTTAGGTATGTTTCTCAATTTGTCTCCCTCCAAATACTCTTATTGGTATATATATATATATATATATAGAAAAAGGTAGTACTACCCATCCTTAGGCTAAGAGAAACCCAAATATATAATTAACAAAAAATCTACTTTTATACATATACATCTATATGTATAGGTAAATTAAAATTTTAGTTAATTTGAGTAAATAAGCAGGGTTTGGACTTGTAAATATGAGTAAAAAATTAGATAAATTAACAATATATTTTTTAATTTTTTTTAGAAATAGTTAAAAATTCTTTCCATATTACTTTACTTAGTTCATATCATATTTACTGAGTACCGTAAATTACTTAAAAACAAAATCACATCCTCTGTTAATTTTAGATGTTGTATATTTTTTTGTTGTTGTTTATCATTTTTATGACAATACAAAATTGATAAGAAAAATTTCCATTCTCTTAATTACAATATTCTCAATTTACTGTAATTGCTCTCATTGATTCTCTTAATTATAACATCCTAATAATTGTGATTGATTCTTAATAATTACAAATTTATGATCGTATTCACACATTTCAAACGTTAATAGTATCATCTGATTTGAATCTCACAAATATTTTGGTTGATATAACCTTTGTTTAGCATAACAAATAATATATATATATATATATATATTTTTTTTTTCCATTAAATCTTTGACTTGTCATCCACTTTAGGCTAAAAAAAAAAACAAAAGAGTAAGAAAAGAATGAAGTAGAGAGATTCAAGGGTCTCTGGATCTGTTTGAAACGGTAGTAAAGTGTTGGTTGGTATAAAATCAAAACTTAATTTATTTTTTCTATTTAATTATATATATACATCAGATAATGATTACTGATGACAAATTTAATACGTGGTATTTTTAATTTTTTACGTAAGAAATACGTGTTATTTTTATCACCCACTAAATTAAGAAAGAGCAAGAAAAACTGGGAATCCATATCCATTTACTTCAAATTTAAACCTTTTTTTTTACCATGTAAGTATATACATACACATGAAAATCAAAAAATAAAAATTAGGCCGTCTATATAAACCCAACATTCAAGAAAAACAAGAACAAGCCGAAAAGGCTCCATTAATGGCTACCCGGTCTGTATCAAACCTTCTTCTCCGCAGTAATCTCCGCTGCTTTGCCAGACCTCTTGCTTCTGCCGCTTCTTCTTCCTCCTCCTCATCTTTCGCCGCCATAACCATCGACGATAAACACGACTTTTCCCCTGCCTCCACCCTAACCAGAAACACCTGCTCCGCCACCACTACGCTCGATCTCACCGATCATGAAAAGCTTTTCGCCTCTGTACCCACCCCCAAGTTGCTGCGTGCCTCTGCTAATCTTCAACTGGCAGCTATGGAGTATATGGTTGATTTCGGGATGTGGGTTATGAACTCCAAGCTCATGGAGGTCAATCTTTTGCGTGAAATCGTGGTGAGGACGGTGAGACATACGTTCTACGAGCATTTTTGCGCCGGAGAAAATGTTGAGGAAGCTGTACGGTGCGTTTTGAAGATGAATGAGACTGCTGGATTGAGAGGGATGCTGGTTTATGGAGTGGAGCATACTGATGATAACTCGGCTTGTGATCAGAACCTGAATAGGTTTCTTCAGACTGTTGAATCTGCTGGATCACTTTCGCTATCTTCTGTAAGATTCAATTCAATTTCATTTTCATGATCGTTCTCTTCATTTATTATGTTAATCTTGATTGTTTCTCTTTCTGGGTTTTGATTCGTTGAAAGACCTTTGCCTGATCGTTCAGTTTAATTTCTCCTGTTTCTTGGGAAAGAAAATATGGTTAGTAGTAGAGAAACGGAGTTTGCATCTATGAAGATGATGACGTGGCATCTATGAAAATGTATATATATATATATATTTTTTTTTTATTTTTCAGGAGAGATTTACAGCTGTTAAATTAGAGTTTGACATGGCTTACTTTCACTTTTTTTAAATAATTTTGACGTAATCACTTATGTCTTGGTGGGTCCATCTAGGAAAAAGATAAAATATTGATTAAAGTTGATAGTATAATTGTTTTACTATATATATATATATATATTAATGTTTGATAAAAATAAGTAAATATTTTTATACTTTTCCTTTTTTTTTTTTTTTAATTTAGTAATCCTCTGAATATAAAGAGAAATAAGAGGAAGAACTGATGTTTATGAACTGGGCAAAATAGCAATGTAAAACTGTACTGTCCGAGTTGAACAGTCAGCTTGAAAATTAAAATATCATTTAAACTATTTTATCCTTAAAATATTCAACGCTTCTTCCATATCCAACGCATATAGCTTGTTTGTTTACAATAGGTAAGCTTTGTGATTGTAAAGATCACTGCAATATGCCCAATCAGTCTGCTCAGGCGGGTTAGTGATTTGCTTCGATGGCAATACAAAAATCCTTCTTTCAATCTGCAATGGAAGCTCAACACCTTCCCAATTTTCACAGATTCAAGTCCTCTGTATCATACTCTTAAAGAACCACAACCTCTGACCCACGAAGAAGAGATTGATCTTCAACTAGGCCACCAGAGACTGCTAAAAATCTTCGAGAAATGCCTCGAAGCCAATGTCCCTTTGTCCATTGATGCGGAGGACACCTGGTTGCAACCCGCCATTGATTACTTGACATACTCTTCAGCAATCCTGTACAGGAAATTCGACAATCCAATCGTGTATGCCACAATGCAGACCTACTTGAAAGATGCTAGAGAAAGACTCTTCTTAGCTGCAAAACACGCAGAGAAACTTGGCGTTCAAATGGGGTTCAAGCTAGTAAGAGGTGCATACATGTCTAGTGAAAGAAAATTAGCTTCTTCCTTAGGCTATGAATCTCCAATCCACAACAACATTCAAGAGACTCACGCATGCTTCAACGATTGTGCCTCGTTTATGCTGGAAAACATTGCTAACGGCTACGGTGGAGTTGTTCTTGCGACCCACAATGTTGAATCAGGTATGGAGGGCAAACACTTTTTCACCACAAATGTTTTGATGGATTCAAAGGAATGTCATAATTTTTTTTTTTTTTTTTATGATACAACAGGTCAGCTTGCAGCAGCAAAAGCTGAAGAATTGGGGATTGGGAAGGGGAACAAGAGGCTTGAATTTGCACAGCTATATGGAATGGCAGATGCACTTTCTTTTGGTTTAAGGAATGCAGGGTTTAAAGTGAGCAAATACATGCCATTTGGACCTGTGGAGTTGGCCATGCCATACCTTCTAAGGAGGGCTGAAGAGAACAGAGGATTACTCTCAACTTCAGCTCTTGATAGGGAACTTATGAGGTAAAAATAAATCTAAAAAATTTAAAAAATTCCACAGTAACAACTTCAACAATTATTCAGCTTCTGTTTTTTTTTTTTTAACCTGTATATAACAGGAAGGAGCTGAGGAGAAGACTAAAAGCAATAATCCTGTAGGGCAGAGCTGATGGTTTCACCTTCAAATTGTGCAAAAATAAAGGGGGATAAACAGGATAGCTCATTTTAACAGCAATGTATTTCACATTTCCTCCTTGTGCATTAAAAGGAATGAAATCCTCAAGTTTGAATTTTCATGTGAAGTAATCATTATTTTTAATTTTGAGAAAAAGTAATTAGCATTATTTAAGTAATCTTATTCCACAAACCATCCTTTGGTCTTCTGAATTCAAGCGCAAGATTAGAAAGAAAAAAAATATTATTGTTCCCGGCTAATTCTGCTCTTAATCGTCAAGCTATGAAGCTGTTGACTTTTCTCATTTTTTTTTTTGGAGAAAAAAAGAAAAACGAAAATCACCAAATAACCTATGGTGGAATCAATGGGATCAAACCCTGGCTTCCACCATATAAGATAACAAGCTGTAAATATTTGAGTTCATGATTTAAAAGAAAAGGTATAATCAATTGTCTATTTTTTTTTTTTAATTTTCAAAAACTTACTATAACATTTGAGTAAAGGGTAACTTAATGAGGAAGTCTGGGTACATCAATTTCGTGGAAGAGGATCTTTTCTAAAATGAAAGGATAACACCTAACTACAGAATGTTGTGGAAACTCTATCCTTAAATTAATTGAATTTACTAGTCAAAAGGGAGAGAAAGACAGCAAAAACAAGGATTGAATGACCAGAAAGAAAGACAAATTTATAAAAAGATTGATTCCTAAGATTAATACACACAGATTACGCATGGGAAGAACCTCACATATTCAAGAAATGGATAAAAAACTGGAAGTCTGGAAATATAAAAAATAATAATAAAATGCACTAAATTATATCATCAATATACAAACATGGAGAATTTTCTTTCCAACAAAATTGTGATTGGGGAATTTACTGTAAAAAATTTGAAAAGTGGTTTCTAGATCATATGAGCCAAGGCTAAACAATAAATTGATTTCCCAGCAGAACCAAGACTTCCTTGCTGACTCTAAAGATGAAGGTCAGGAGAAATAAAAAAAAAAAATACAGCATGAATTTTCTCCAGCCTGTCTCTTTATCTGCCAGTTTCTGCACTTCCATTTCCCAAAAAGCTTATGTAGAAATCACACATACATTAATGATAACTAACGAGAGAATCATGTTTCAAATTTTCTAGCAACGGCTACTCTGGAATATATTAAAAATGGCATCAACCGATGCATATACGGCTGGACTGAAATAACCAGATTTCAATATCTATCAATTATTAACACCGTTGCTTAGTCCTCCCTCATGTGCCCCAATAAAAGAATAAAGAAGTGAAATCCAGTAGGTTACCGCAATAATGTTATCTATACCTATCCAAATCATTTAAATAATAGATGGATAGAATTGTATTCAGTCACCAGCACAGCATTGTCTGGTGGCTCGCTGACCTGGGGGCAGCTCTCCTCATGACTTTCATTCAGACAAACTTAAAGAAGATTGATTCCTGTATCATATCCTAATCTGAAGTAAAATCAATCTTGTCTTTACCGTTTATCATGGTTAAACAAATAAAACAGAAGATGACAACTCATAGCTACCCTCCAACCATTTTTAAGGGCTGGGAAATTCACAAGGCGCCTCTCTTGCTATTAATTCGAATAAGCAAAAGTTTTGAGAACCCACATGCATATATGAGATGGAACATACGGTGCAAGTTATAGTCCAATTATTTACGAGTCAATTTGAGGCATGCTTACCAAAAAATTGATGCAAATTCATCTCATAATATTTCATGTCTTGCATACATAATCCTTAGGCATTCTCTATGTTCATAACCTTCAAAAAATCTACAATTTATATGACAAAATTATTTATAATTCAGAAATGTAACAAGATGAAGTAAAAAAGAGCATATGCAAATCAAATAGTCAATATCAACTAAGAAGCACAAATGTCATATAAACTCTTTATTATTTTTTTTACTATAGTATCAAACTTTGGTCATCTAAACAAATACATATATGATGAACAAGACCAAGATTCTCTTAGTGTCTCGTACAAAGCAAAATACTATGAGAAATGCAACTATTGAAGAACTTATAATGTTACCAGCTATATATGGTGAAAGTTGAAGTGGGTGTCAAAATCATTCCAACTGGAGTCCCGAAGAACTGAATAACCATAGATGAAACATGGTTAGACATAGGAATGTTGACTAGAATGTTATACCAATTAATTTTGGATGATGACTCTACAATAGAACAAATCAATCATCCAAATAAGTTTGAACTATCTCCAGATAGAAGTCCATCAATTATACATCTAAAATTTCAGTGGTGCTTGGTAAAGAATATTTATCTCAAGATAAAAGCTTCCAATCTTCATTCATTTTAATTGCATAGTTGCGCTTAGTGATAGTTGAGAATGCAAACAAACCAGGACGACTAGTTCTCTTCCTTATGATTCCTTGTTTACAATTTATCTATAAAACTGCAAGTGCAACCATGGTGTAGAGGATGCAAACAAACTTGATCGTGTGAAAAATCATAGTCCAGGTAAACATGAATTCTTTTGAGGAAGAATTTGATCCAACATATCAATGTTAAACCACAAAGAGACTCTATTTGGTCTTTTAGAGGAGAGATAAAAGGCAATTGACCGAGAAGGGGCTTGCTAGCTTCATGCTTATAGATGAGATGGCTTGGAAGTGATCTAGGATGGCGTGAGGAAAAGAAGGGGACAGTAAACCAAATTCTTTCCTAGATGTACATGAATAGTCCTCTTCATAAAGTATCTGTTGGAGGATTTAAGTTGGCGAATGATTTAGAGGAAGCGGTTAAAGGTTCTCATAAGAATCTCTTTTCTAATATAAAGCTTGGAGGTTGAATCCAGATGGTCCAGACCTTAATATGCTTAGTGGGGATGTCATAAGATTAGCAAGAGCAATGATTAAGGTTAAGATTTTTTGTTGTCTTGTCCAGTTGCAATAGAGAAAAGCTCCCTAAGTTCTAATTGTTTCTTTTTGGCCTTTCTATTAAAAAGTTACATGTTACTGAAGAGAAATATATTCAGACATGTTCCACAAGATAAGGTAGTCTGTGGTTAGCCTTTATTCTACATTCATAGTCCAATTAAAATTCTCAATAGCGCACCATGTTTCAATTATATTAAAATTCTGTGTTCTTTCTGTGCCTATGCAGTTGTTTATTACTAATAGGGGAAAGATTCTTATAGTCTTGAGTTTTCTCTTTCCTCTATATAAAGGAAAAACTAAAAGTTGTAAAATTCAATTATTCAATAGGGCATGAATCCATATGCAAATCAACTGTGCAAGCATATGATTCAAAAATTATACTCTCCCAGGTTCTATGTGGTACAGAATGATGTCTGAAGATAATTTTTTTTCCTATGTGGTTAGTAAAGATTCAGAAATTCAACTAACATAAATTGAAAATGGAATTAGAATACTGTTCTCACTTCAATATTGTCTCATTCTCTTGTAATCTTGTTCCTATTACATTAGAATTTATTTTTGGAACCAAATGTAGCCTAAACAGTTGCATCCACCCAAGTTAAAGGATGAAAACTGATATTACTCATATTTTAGTTTTACTTGATTATTGGAACAATTAAAAGAAATACATAATTCAATCTAACCTCATCAAATGAATGGAAATATATACTTCAAATTTCACCACACCAAATGACTGAATTTGTGATCATTTTCAATAACAAAGAATATATCTGGGTGCTAGTTCCAGCTACCATTGAGGTGAATATCACAAAAGACAATCCCACAAATAACAGAATATAGTTCTTGTAACTGAAAGATTACAAACAAAAATTAAAAGATCCAAAATTTAACAGATTAAAATTTTAGCTGAGAGTTTGATAGCCAAACGGTCCTAGTAAACCATCTTCTCCTGGGTTGCTCCTTCCCATCAAAGATGGCATCCAGGGAAACAGTTTCCCGAGCTCCTTACTAATTGTACTAGCCCTCACCGGCCTATCATTTATTCCAAATTTTGCTCTTTCAATAGATCCCATTATATCTTCCCTGGTCACGATTTCACCACCTACAGAAAGCAAGTGTAAAAATTTATGAAGGAAGCTGAAGCTCCTAAAACAGCACAGTTTCACTGGTCATGCAAATGCAATAATGCCTAAAGAAAATGAAGGACAAACAGCAGGCTATAAAAATAGTGATGAAAGAAAACTATTATAATATCAATCAACATATGGTAAAAGGAGATCAATTTTCACTATGTCATTAGGGTTAGCATCAGTAATGGATATTTGTGTAAGAATAGGGACAAAACCAGATATCAACTTGAATATTCAGTATATTTGGACTCACCTCTACGAGCAGCAAGTAAAGCAGCTTCGTTGATGATATTTGCAAGATCAGCACCAACGAAACCTGGGGTGAGAGAAGCAACTAGATCACAAATAAGATGTATGTCTTCCTCCAAAGGAACTTTCCGCAAATGTACCGCCAAAATCTTTCTTCTTCCCTCCTGATCTGGTTCACCTACAATAACCTTCCTTGAGAAACGACCAGGGCGGCACAGGGCAGGGTCCAGTGCTTCTGGACGATTAGTTGCTGCAATAACTATCACCTTCATGTCTGACTCAAAACCATCCATCTCAGTGAGCAACTGCACACAAAAATGATTTTTAAAAGACAGATCAAAACACAAAAAGATTACTAAGAGCAGATTGAATAAACTACAATGTACGTGGAAAATTTACAAACCCAAATGCCAGTCATCTTTTTATTTGACAAGAATTTACTTTCACAAGGTTTAGAAAGTATCTCAACCCTAGATGAAAAACCATATTGTAGTCCTGACATTTCAGAGGTAATTCATTCACATTGATAAAGACTCCAAATTATTGAATTAAAACTATTATACAGAATGCACACTCCTATTGCAAAAGATCACTCACTTTCATGCCAGTTTAATCAGAATGGTTTTTCTCTTTAATAAGATGGTTTCAGTCAAGATAAAATGTCGGCTTGCCTGGTTCAGCGTTTGATCACGTTCATCATTGAAACTTCTACCCCGCTTCCCTCCAACTGCATCAAGCTCATCAATGAATATAATAGATGGTGCATATTTCTTTGCTACATTAAAAAGATCTCTAATGCGTGCTGCTCCTCTTCCAACAAACAGTTCTACAAATTCGCTGGCAGAAACAGTGAAAAATGGCACTCCTGCTTCCCCAGCCACTGCTCGAGCCAGTAATGTTTTCCCGGTTCCAGGGGGACCCACCAACAACAAACCTCTAGGCAACTTTGCTCCCAGTCTTTGGTAGTTTATAGCTCCTTGTAGGCATGAAACTATCTATATGCAAGAACTGCATTAACCACTCTCTCATGAATATAATACATGAAAAAACAACAATGGGCATAACTCAAAAAATATTCAGTATGAAAATTAAAGATGAACTTTAATATACGTTCAGGAAAAAGGAAAAAGTAGATATTCAATTAGCAGAACAGTACTCACGTTAAATTGGGATACTCACTGTTTCCTCAAATCTTTATACTCAATCAACCACTATAAATGGGGCTCTATAGGACATTAAAGGTGAAGGCGGTAGTGATTTACTTGGTATACCCAAAGATTAAAAGGTTTAAACTTGTGAATTCAACCATTATAAAATTTTGATTGTTTCCTTCCAACCCTCCGTACGAAAACTCTCAATAAAAATGAATTTTTGCATCATATAGTACGGAACTAACTCCAAGAGTAATGGTTACATTTTAACCAATAAAACTATTGGTTGCTAGAGTTAATTTTACCTTAACTATTAAAAGACACTAACCAGTTTACCTTAACCATTAAAAAGAAATTTATGATGTTAATTGTACTTTAACAAGTAAAAGCATTGCTCATGTATTCTTTATTTTCACTTCCTTTTTCTTGGTCCTCAATTTCAATTGGAAGTTTCTTGAGGGATCTTATCAGATGTTTGACAACATCACTTCATTGCCCGGGTGCCAATAAGAAAAAAATGTAACTATCTATATAATCTGAGAAAAAATATTTCATACCTCAACAAGCTCTTGCTTGGCAGCATCCACACCCTCCACATCGTCAAAGCTAACCATCTGATTATTGGGTCGCCTCTTTCTTGCTGGGTTGTTAGCTGCGGAAAGTTGACGGTAAAGAAGCCACATCAAAGGAGTCAATGGAATCCACAGAGAGATTATAGTTATTAAAGTATTTCTCATGGAATGCAAAACAGATTGAGGAGCTGAGCTGTATGTGATTCCCTTCTCTCTCATCAAACTGAGAAGAAATTTCTCATCATGATCTATTTTTCTAGTGGAATACTGCCACTCAGGGACGGAATCTTTACTTCTTGACAATTTCTTCAATACATTAGCTTTTGGAGCTTGGTCAGTTTCTGAACCATCATCTCTTGCAACTGGAACTGTGTCAACTATCTCCTCTACAGAAGCGTTCATTTCTGGCGACTTTTCTTCCAAAGCATGTGCAGTTTTTATGTTCTTATCATTTAAATTATAATATATACGACGGGAACCCTCTTCAAGTAAAACATTTGTAACAGAGCCCGTTTGAAGGCTTGTTACGAAGTCGGAATATGGAACTATCCTCGAAGATGGCAAGGCCGTCAATTTCAAAAACAAATAACACAGCCCCAGTGCCACAGATATCGCAACTGACAAAATCACCCTTTTTATGTTCCTCCTCAAAAGCATCCCAATACCATCCAAAATTGACCTCGCAGAAGCTCTCTTGATTCTTCGAATTAATAACCGCAACCTTGGACGTAGCCTCACTGAGAATCTCTTCCTCAAATCATTACTTTCTCTCTCCCCCAAATGGGCCTGCTTGTCTCCACCATTTCTACTCATCAATTGCCTAACTTCATTGTTACAAGACAACCCACTTTGAGATTTACAACAAACATAAAATCCCAACAAAGAAACTCCAGTTTTCCCATTATTAAGCGATTTAAACTTAGTGCCACCAAATAAGCGATTCTGGATTTTACTAAAACAGACACTTTGACGTCTCTTCAAGGCTTCCGTTCTTCTATTGCCAGCAATAGAAATTTGTTGATTAACCAAAAGTCCATCATTGCACACGACAGCGAATGCAGCCATTTTTTTAACAACAGAATGTTTATCTTAAGAATCAACTTTGAAGAACACCAACTA